ATTTTCGCAAAATCTTTTTTTTTTTTGGTAGGAATATAATGATTTTCATTTATTCGTAGGTTTCATTCGTGTACTGTTGATGGTTTTTGCTGTCATTTTGACGGAACCTGCTGTTAAGTTTGGTCACTCTGAATTTTTGAGTTAATCTATTTATTAGTGAATATATGTATTAGTGAATGTATTAGTGGATGTATTAGTTAATGTATGTATTAGTGAATGGATTGGTTAATGTATTCGTTAATGTATGTATTAGTGAATGTATTAGTTAATGTATTAGGTAATGTATTAGTTATTTACATTTTTTCACTGTTAAGAATTTATATTTATAATTTTTTTTATCAATAAATAATTCTATCAGCAAATATTGCATTCTTGACCTTACACAATTTACTTTTTTGACTCTTGTATACAGTGGTAGTCAAAAGTAATGCATCGTCGAAATGAAAAATATAATATAATTTTTTTTTACATTTACGAAGAATGCAATAAATCTACAAATATTTGTCAAAATAGCTAATATAATCGCTAAAACAAATAAATTTATTCTGCAAAATTCATTATATATAATCAACTTATCCGGCAAACTCTTATGAACATGAATTGCTATCTGTCTTGTTATTTTTTCCCGTGTCACTACGTAATCATGTTTATTCAGAATTGAAACTCAGCCGATGACCCACCTAGTATCGCCACAAATGACGACATTTGATTGATAATAATATATTAAGAATAATAACAATTTACATTGAATTTTTTTATAATTATAGATGTTGAAGGAGAAAGCAATATGTATATGGTATACAAATTCAACCAGTCACGTATTGACGTATTGATCTTGTTTATCATATCTTTACTCTTTACCGAAAAATTATTGCCAGTACAGTGCATAACCATTGCATTAACGAAGGCTCCAAACTGAGTGGAATAAATTAGCTACACTTAGCATTAAAATGTTCAGAAGCATAACATAATTAAACATTATATCAATTATCTTGTAAAAAAATTTTTTATAAAATCTTTATTTGCAAATTAAAATGTTTTTATGATTAATAATTCTTGCAGCCAAAATCTATCGTCAACGCGTTAAAAATTTTCTGATAAAAATTTTATAAGCTAAATTTTTTACAATTATAAAAGTTACAATAATAAAATTATTATTCTTTATATAATCTATAATATTGTATTAAAAAACTATAATTTAAAAGTATATGTTAATAGTGTTTACCGAGAATTATAAAATTTTTAAATTTGTATAATTCTAGTAAGTATTTATGATTTTCTAAATCTTCCATATTGTATTCCTTTTTTTGGTTCTTCATTTAAATGTTTATGTGAATACTGTTCAATTGAATTTCTTATCTGATTTTCTTGTTCAATGGTTTGTGTTTTCTAAAATTTGCATAATTTGCATAATTTGCATAATTTGCATAAAATCAGAAATACGTTTTATTTAAATATAATTATCAAAAAAAAAAACTAAACATTTACCTCTTTAACAAAATGGTAAGCGCTATATATATGAGATGTTAATAAACTTGTTGGAAATTTATCTTCTACAAGTTCTATAGAAACATAGTCAGGCCAACATCCAAGAGAATCATTGTCCACGAGATATAAAGAAAGAGGAACATTTTCTTTAATGATTTCACAATCAGCTGACAAATATCTTACAATAAGTCTTTTCAATGCAGTTAAGAATGCTTCTGCTGGTATTTCAGTATAATTTTCTAGAATAGTATGTTTAAAGCCTATTGTTTCTAAAATGTCTTGCTTCAATGATTCATTTAATTCAACTTGGTATTTTGGAGATATACAATTAACAACTATATCGGCCACATGTTCTTCAACTAGCTCATATAATGCCACGATATGCTTAAGTTGTAATCCTGTTCTTGTTAATAATTCGTAACTGTATCTCTTCATTACACTTGATTTCATCCAAGTTTCTACGTAATCACTAATCAAAGCATCGCGATCTCCTCCAGATGTTTGTTTTAAGAAACAAATAATTATTTCTAAAGCAGAAAGTAATTCCATTTGATTTTCTATTATTTTTGGTTTTTTATTAAGAGGGATTTGCTCTTGTTGTACTAAATTTTTAATTTCATCTAAAATTGTCATAGATCTATTAAATAACTCATTACGATATGTAAATGTATTCAAATACATTTGATCTTTATTGGCCTTGATTAACTTTTTCCCGTATACTAATTCTAGAGCTAACTCGGCTTCGATCTTGTATAGGTCATAATGAATTTCTCGACCATGACCTAGTCTAAGATCATTTTGACTATATAAAAAGACCTCAGAGATATCATCATAATTAATTATTTGTTCTGGTTTTGCATTTTCAAGAGAAATAGATTGCAAATAATATCTCGATTCTTGTTCGCTTTTTTTATGAGTACTTGACTTTTCAATGAATTTTAGCGATTGACAAGTTTCAGAAGAAATTTCTATAACATCATTTAAAAAATTGTTTTGTAATTGAGCTAAGAATTCTATTATTGCACATATATAAATAGACTCATCGGTTGGCTCATATAATCCATAAACTATTGATATTTTTTTATGCATTTTAGGCATTCCTTGTGGTAAGTCTTTACATTGATATCGCTTGATATATGGAATTAGACAGTTCCACGAGTTTGCAAAGCTATTAAATGCTTCATTCAAAGACTTTTTGTTTTTTTCAGTGTCATCATCTTCACATTCATTTGCTATGAATTGTTGAAATGTTAATTGACGTGCTTTTTGCCTCTCAATAGCATGAGAAAGTCTTGAAGAAAGGATTTGTATAAACTTCATGATTGGTACAAGATGTTTAATAAGGTTTAGATCTTTTTCATGTTTCAAGAAAATATTTAATAACGGTAATCGCTCTTTATTCTCATGGTTAGACATATAGTAAGATCTAAAATCATCTAAATCTGGTTTTCTGATTAATCTCCAAAGTAAAGGTAAATAGTTCTCGCTAGTTTGCATAGTCTCATTAATTTCAAGTGAATTCTCTGCATTTTTATCCAAAACAATGCGGAAGTTATTGGCAGTCCCTATAAAATTCTTAATTCTTGGTAAAACATATTGTCGACTAAAATTATCTTCCCAAGCTTCTCTTTGAGCTGATGATGTAAACTTTTCAACATTTTGCAAAGATTCATTTAACATGTCTGAAAGTATTGCATGAATAACTAACGTTAAAGTTTCATCTTCGCAGTTAAACATACTTTTTAATGCCTTCCAATCATTTTCAATGTGCATTTTACAGTATTGAAAAATGTTAATATTTCGATTATTAATAAAAGCAATAGTAGTTGATAAATGTGATTGGATGCCAATAATTATATGCAAAAACAAATGAAGAATCCTGTAAGAAGCAGGGTGCAAGGTTCTAACACTATGATGATTGTTGTCAAATCCATCTTCAATTATATAGCCTTGTTTGTCTTTTACTGCAATAGATCGTTTAATTTTATCACTATCAATACTGTTACTCCCTTCATTAAGTACGTGATCCAAACCACCTATTCTGTTGTGACATTGGTTACATATACCATTTTCATCTGGACGTCCACAATTACCAATAAAGTAAATATTGCCACATTTGCATTGATATCTATACAACAAAAGTATAGAATTAGTTAACAGCAATGTTATCGTTAATAAATTTAGTTAAATTAATAATTTTAGTTAAATAACATACCTCCTTGTTCCTGAATCCTTTGCTATTATAGCATTTGTTATTAAAGCCAATTCATCTGACGGGCAAGTCAATATATATGTATCTTTATAATCATATAATAACTGCATATATGCACTTAGAGGAGAAGCATTAGCAGGAAGTGATGTATGTAAGGCTACGACATGAGCAATAACCGAAGAAATAAATAAATCAGTGTTTTTAACATCTGGGCTTAGCTCGTATAATTGACGATTATTGGTCATAAAATTTAAAAGGTACATTTTATAATTCTCTGGAAGTCGAGATGAACGTAAGCACATAGACATCTTCTGGATTAACATAATATCATTTGAATTCAATTCACGTGATGCTCTAATAAGATAAAAATTTGTTATTATCATTCCAGCCAATGAAATTTTTTGTGTTATATCATTATTTTCAGCAATCGTATTAAATGTATTTTTTACTGATAATTCATCACTGTAAGAAATTTCTCTGAATAAAAGATCAAATTGTTTAAATTGTTTAAAGTAATAATAAGGGTTAAATCCAAGTCGACTATCACAATCTGTTTTTAAAATTCTGACCCATGGTAAAATATGTTGTCGTGCATAACAGAATTGTTTAATTTCATAAGTTGTCAATCCTTTCAAATATAAAGATTTGACTAAATATGTTGCGAATGAATGAACTAAAGGGTGCATTATTGGCAACTCTAAACGTTTATTTAAATCATCTATAAGCTTATAATTTATTGGATTGTTTGAAGAATCTTTGGGTTCTACACAATTCCAGAATTCACTTGCAAATACTTTCAAAATGGCAATTGCAGTAATTTTCTCTAATTCTTTAGCATCTCTAGTCAAAATATCTATTGCTTTCATCAGAATATAATGAGGCATTTGATATTTAGAGAGTTGCATCTGAATAACATCACAACATAACGCTGCTATTTTTGAGTTCCTTTGCCTGGATAAGATGCCTTCAATAACTTTCAGCCTCATTGTGCTTTTTATTGCTTCTGAATTATTAATAATATTAATAAATAATAATCCATTTTGTGCTGCATTTTCAGATTCAAAAATTAAATAAATGGTATAGAAAGTAAATGGTAAAGGTTCTTGAAAAAATATTTTTGCATAAAGGTGAGAGCGTGCAGATGACTCAAGTGGAATTGTGTTCAAACATCTATAAATAAAAGATCTTCTTGAAGACAAACTAATTTCTGTTTTCTCTATTTGATCAAGTTTTTCGAAAATAATATCAATAGATTGCTTTGAAAATAAATCAGCTGCGTGTTGCCTAATTTGAAACAATTGTGTTAAGGAAATTGTTTTAGACAAGTCATTATATACTCGAAGCATATTTAGTGATGGATTGTTGAAGGAATTTGATAAATTGGTAGAAATTGACAAAATATTTGCGACATCACGCTGCCATTGTTGAAGTTTAATTGGTTCATTCTCGTTACAAGCCATAGAATTCTCTTTAATAACGTTCTCACTTGTATTATTGTTTTTCTTATTGCTATTATAAATGATGCTAAAAAGTTTATTTATCATAATATTTGATTCTCGTTTGAATAAGTAATTCTTCAAGTTAAATTCTCCATCTTGGTCAAATTTAGTACTTAAAATTTCTTCAGCAATGTTTGGAAGTAGTGAAATCAATTGCAATTCAGTCAGGATTATGTCTTCATTGTCCCACCAAAACACATGAAGTCTTATAGGATCTGGAACTTCTTGATTCATGTGATGAGATATAATTCGACGTAATATTTGGCTGTTATCAATTCTTCCATGGGAAATAATAGTCGCAAAATCATTAAAATATGCATTTGGTAAATCAAACTGTGGTATTTTTAACTCAGGAACTAGGGAAATAATGTGCTCTGAAAACCTTTCAACGCAGTCATCAATAATATGTGATTTGAGATTACCAGTTTCTTCATCAAGATTTTCTGGAATTCCTTCCAACATTTTTAAATCATCCTGATATATACTTTTAAATTTAGTAATCTGTTCCATAAAGTATGTTGAAAATGGAAGGTTCAAACCATGAAATTTGTTTGCTATAATGTAAGGCATCTTTAAATTCTCAGTATTAACTATTTTGGTATTCATAATTATTGGTTTCCAGAAAGCGAATAAATTAGGTGCAGCATCACTATACTCATCAAATCTGTTTCCCTCACAAAGTAAATTATTGCTATCAAGGATTAAAAGTCCTGATACTTTCTCTAAAGCAAATAATAGTTGAGATACAGGTTTTCTAACTTGGTTACAAATATATATTTGTAAAGCGATTGAGAAGGAAGAATATAGATATAAATCTTTTTTGTTTATTGAGACTTCTAATTGCCAATTTTTAATTTGATTTTTACGTAGCCATTCAAATGTTTTCGTCTTCATCCAATTCATAAATTCCTTATGGCATTGAATTTTTTGAACCAAGTATCTATAAAAAAAATTATTCACCATCAGCAAATATTATTTGATGAAAATTTTCAAAAAAAAAAAAAAACAAAAAAAAAGGCTTACTTTATATAATTAGCTGATTCATAAGATGATGGAAATTCTATACGAAGCAAGCACCATAACAACTCACGATCAATAACTTTTTCAAATGTGTACAC